ATGGACTCCCCTGTTCAAAAGCTGAGATACGTTTCAGCCCCCAAAATGTTAACCGCTCTTGAACATTTTTTAAATTTTTACTCGAGAAATATAAATGATAAGAAAAAAAAGTAATAAAACCAGTCGAATTTAAAACACTTAGGTTGAGAAATGTGACGTCACATCAAAATACGCAACTTTAAATAATTATAGAAAACACGTTCTACTTAATTAAATAGACTTTTAATACATGTTTTCTCCTACAACATCAGAGTACAGCGCCACATTAAATACGCACTACAATGACAATAGTTTAAAGCGATTTGAAGCATGTTTTTTTTTGGGGGGGGGGCAGAGCTTTGTGACGTCATATTTGAGGGGGGGTCTGACTTTTTGTGACGCCGTGTGACGACGGGGGGGGGGGGGGGAGTCAAAATCGCGTGACGTCATTTATGGATGGCCCCTTACTTCACCAGCCCTCCTTCCTAACTTCATTCTGCTCTTAAAAATGTCGCCATATGTAAGCAGCTGCTATTCGTCCAAGGTTCGTCGCTCTTCATCCTTTCACAGGTATTGAGCTTCACCCTGGCCCAAATGTAAATAACTCATTTAATTCTGTAGATTTTTCCGGCAGAAAATGTGTTGGTGTTCTACACGTCAACATCAGAGGGCTTGTGATTAAATTAAGTCAACTAAAACTTGAAGTGGTAAATCTAGACCCGGACATTTTCTGCCTTACAGAAACATTTCTCACTCCGGCCGTAAATGACTTGCAGATTACGATTGAAAAATATAACCTTTTTCGAGTTGACCGAGTGTCTAAAGGAGGTGGAATTGCCATATATGTTCACCAGCTCATTCCTTGTTAAAAAAATATTGCTTTGAAGGTCTGGCTCTCAGAATCACTCTCCCTAAAAATCAACAGATATTGGTAGTGTGCTGCTATAGACCACCTAGTGGTAAGGATGTTGAAGCTGGGAACTTACTGAGGGAGCTTCTTGAGGACCTCCTTAAAGGTGAAATAATTTTGATGGGTGATCTGAATTGGAATTGGCTAAACCCGCCGGCCGTGGCCACACATTTTGCAGATTAATTTAACCTATTTCATTTAATAAAGACCCAACTTAAAAAAATCCAGGACAGTCATCTCTGCTTGACGTCCTATTGACTAATGCCCCTCACAATTTCCCACTTACTGGTGTTCTGGGTAATAACCTTAGTGATCACTCCTTCATATTTGGGGTGAGATCGTCAGACAGACCCAAAGCCCCCCCCCCCCCCCCCTAAATTGGTTGACAAGCACTCCATGAGACACTTCAGCATACAGGCATTTGATGTGTTTCAATCGGATATTGACAAGGTCTGTGATATCCCCAACCTGACTACAGCTTGGGAGACCTTCAGGTATACGTTTCTCCTAATTCTTAACAAACATGCTCCGTTGGTTAGATTTCAAATTAAAGGCAACCACCCACCATGGTTTGATCCTTTGATTACTAAGCACATGGAAACTAGGGACAAGGCTTGGGCATGCGCTCAGAAAATGAATTTGGTCAAAGACTGGCTAGAATCCAGGATTTTAAGGAATAGATGTGTAAAAAAGAATATGGCATGCAAAAAATGCTTACTTTTCCTCCACTCTCCTGGAATCGCATGGCAACGCCAGGATCTTCTGAAAAACAGTCAAATGTATCGAAAGGGCATCTAACACAGATAATCTTCCCGTTGCGCTTAACCGAAATGGGGACTCTATTTCAGAGCCCCAAAAAGTAGTCGACAATTTCTTAACCTTCATTTTTCTGACGCTGGTGACCTTTATAATAATGTATTAAGAGTAACACTTGCTCATGCAATTTCCTACACGTCTGTCCAAACATTCAACGAATTTATTTTACAGCCTTTCCACGAAAGTAATGTTCTGATGCAACTTTCCTACCTCATAGGGTACTCCTCTACCGGAGCGGATATCATTACCGTCTTTGCTCTGCTAACTGTTGGTCACCTAATTTACAAACCTATAGCCCATATTTTCAACCTGTCCATCAAAGAAGCATCAGTACCTCTAGAATGGAAACATTCCTATGTTCGTCCACTTCACAAAGGGGGGCCTAAAGATGATCCAAATAACTACCAACCTATCTAAATTTTGTCCCCGTTGATGAAAATTTTAGAAAAATTATTGAACTACCAAATTAGCACTTTCCTGTCCGGGGTTCCATCCTCGGCCCCCTCTTGTTCTCTCTTCATGTCAATGACTTGGGCACTGACCTGGATCATTCCAGGGTAAATCTTTTTGCAGATGACACGATACTGATTACTGCTGGCCGCTCTCCGGATGACGTGATTGCTAAGCTCCAGGGTGATTTCAACAAACTACAACATCAGCTAGTTGCTCTTAAACTGGTCCTGAATACCTCCAAAACCAAGGTGCTATGCTTCTCACCAGGACTAAAGCAGTACGTTATTTTTCCCCAAATACATTCCTTAAATAATTGTCAAATAGAGCAAGTCAAGATCTATAAGTATATTGGGGTCATCCTTGATTCAAAACTGCATTTTCAAGATCACATTGATTATATTGGTAAAAAGACAAAAAAAATGGGTTTCTGTATCGACACAAGCACTGCTTCCCCCTATGTTCCGTTTGCAATAGATAAAAACTACCATACTGCCTCTACTTGATTACTGTGACATCATATATAAATCAGCCCCCAGTACTGTACTGAAGAAGCTTGAAACAATTTATCCCTCGGCCTTAAGATTTGCATTGAACTGCCCATATAGGACCCACCACTGTGATCTCTACATTGGGTCAAACTTAACATATCTTAATAATCGACGGCCTCTGAGTTGCGGCCACTACGTCTGCAAATTTGCGCGCGTTATAAATTGAAATATTATTATTATTGTTATTGTGTATCAAATCTTATTTATTCACGATGTACTTACAAAACAATCCGCAGACTACCTGCTGGATCTCCTCACTGTTTCGAACAAATGTGACCTATGGTCTTCGCTCATTTACCAGATTCACATTCCTTATTGGCGTACAAATACTGGAGGAAGGGCCTTTGCTATTGATGACCCCAGGGTCTGGAATGCTATCGCCAATAAACTGCAACTTGGATCACTACCTGTGAGATCTTCACTCAAAACTGCTCTAGAGTTGTACACCCCTAGCTGCCACTGCTATTCAGTGGCCTGAAATCAAATGTATCGCTCCTGATGACCGCTGCAAAGTGTGATCTTGAGTTTAGATTATAGTGTGCTGATCTTTAAAGGTGCATTGAAAAATGTTGATACTCCTACTGATACTCCTGCTGTTATGGAGTGACTCATGCTGCCAGCTATGGCTGCAAAGTTTTGTCATACATGTTTATGTACAGTGAGGGAAAAAAGTATTTGATCCCCTGCTGATTTTGTACGTTTGCCCACTGACAAAGAATGTCAAAAATGTTAGGAATTGATTTGTATTTTAATGAGGGAAATAAGTATTTGACCCCTCTGCAAAACATGACTCAGTACTTGGTGGAAAAAGCCTTGTTGGCAATCACAGAGGTAAGACGTTTCTTGTAGTTGGCCACCAGGTTTACACACATCTCAGGAGGGATTTTGTCACACTCCTCTTTGCAGATCTTCTCCAAGTCATTAAGGTTTCGAGGCTGACGTTTGGCAACTCGAACCTTCAGCTCCCTCCACAGATTTTCTATGGGATTAAGGTCTGGAGACTGGCTAGGCCACTCCAGGACCTTAATGTGCTTCTTCTTGAGCCACTCCTTTGTTACCTTGGCCGTGTGTTTTGGGTCATTGTCATGCTGGAATACCCATCCACGACCCATTTTCAATGCCCTGGCTGAGGGAAGGAGGTTCTCACTCAAGATTTGACGGTACATGGCCCCGTCCATCGTCCCTTTGATGCGGTGAAGTTGTCCTGTCCCCTTAGCAGAAAAACACCCCCAAAGCATTTTTCCACCTCCATGTTTGACGGTGGGGATGGTGTTCTTGGGGTCATAGGAAGCATTCCTCCTCTTCCTCCAAACACGGCGAGTTGAGTTGATGCCAGAGCTCCATTTTGGTCTCATCTGACCACAACACTTTCACCCAGTTGTCCTCTGAATCATTCAGATGTTCATTGGCAAACTTCAGACGGGCATGTATATGTGCTTTCTTGAGCAGGGGGACCTTGAGGGCACTGCAGGATTTCAGTCCTTTACGGCGTAGTGTGTTACCAACTGTTTTCTTGGTGACTATGGTCCCAGCTGCCTTGAGATCATTGACAAGATCCTCCCGTGTAGTTCTGGGCTGATTCCTCACCGTTCTCATGATCATTGCAACTCCACGAGGTGAGATCTTACATGGAGCCCCAGGCCGAGGGAGATTGACAGTTCTTTTGTTTCTTCCATTTGCAAATAATCGCACCAACTGTTGTCACCTTCTCACCAAGCTGCTTGGCGATGGTCTTGTAGCCCATTCCAGCTTTGTGTAGGTCTACAGTCTTGTCCCTGACATCCTTGGAGAGCTCTTTGGTCTTGGCCATGGTTGAGAGTTTGGAATCTGATTGATTGATTGCTTCTGTGAACAGGTGTCTTTTACACAGGTAACAAGCTGAGATTAGGAGCACTCCCTTTAAGATTGTGCTCCTAATCTCAGCTCGTTACCTGTATAAAAGACACCTGGGAGCCAGACATCTTTCTGATTGAGAGGGGGTCAAATACTTATTTCCCTCATTAAAATGCAAATCAATTTATAACATTTTTGACATGCGTTTTTCTGGATTTTTGTTGTTGTTATTCTGTCTCTCACTGTTCAAATAAACCTACCATTAAAATTATAGACTGATAATTTCTTTGTCAGTGGGCAAACGTACAAAATCAGCAGGGGATCAAATACTTTTTTCCCTCACTGTATATCGTATATTGTTAAATTTGAATCACAGTTCCTACTGTTCACAGTTACATTGTTTTTATAGCTTCATTTTGGTGATTTAGAATAACGTTTAGGTTTAGCCATATTTGTTTGTTTGTTGTAATACAGAGTTAGACTGACAACTTTAATCTACATTGTCTTATGGTTGTTGTTTGACTTGCATCCCACTGGGATTTTTGCACACAGCATTGATATACGGTACTTTTTCTGGAAGACTTTGCTGTTTTTTCCTAGATTTTTCTGTTGCGCGTAGTCAATTTAAGATGTTTCTTGTTCATGCTTTTGTTTGTTGCGGTTGCACCCGATTCAAGAGCCGAATGGCTCACAGGGCTATACCTAATAAATAAACTGAACTGATCATACATACATTTATCGTATTTTTGATGCCGAATGAATGATTATTTCGTGAGGTTACAAGCAAGGCAGCATTGTTGAAACAAACACACTCGCACAAACATAATTTATGAATAAAATAACGAAAAGGTGAAAATACAACAAAAGGAATTCTTCTGCAAGACTCCAGAACTGCATTCGAAGAAACTTTGGGCTAATTTTAATAACACTTTTCAAACTGTTAAGTTACGCGACTATACAGTGGAGACGGCCTGGGAAGGGCAAGGCAGTGGTGGTGCCAAGTTATTCATCAGCTGTGGCACAGCGAACCAGACCCCCCGAAGGCCAACTTCTCTTAGCATTCTCAACGAGCCGTGGTCGTAAAACATGTGCTCAATATGAAAGGTATCCATCAATAAATTTTTAGTTATTAACGAATGTTCGGGTTTTTATGACGCAATTTTCGATTCACGGAATTGAAATATCCACGTGTTTATTCTTTCCGAAACTTCACCTCTGGTGTGAGATTGTCAAAGCCAACAGGGAAGGCAACCCCATCAATCGGCAGACAGGGTAACAGTTATCCCCCCTGCAGTGCCAACAGCAGGAACGACATGCTTCTCCGGTGATTCCAACGTGGCGAGTTCCCTGAACAGGTTAATAATGTTTGTTTTAAACTTATCATTCATCCGTTTTAATGTTATTTTTGTATGGCAAAAAAAGTCACATTAGGTGTATTATTTTTTTCGGGTTAGGCAGAAGATTTGGATGACTGTCCAAAACAACACACATCCCTATTTTTTATGATAATAAATATTAAAGTAATGGGAAATAGACATTGACATTGACGCAATTTCGTTTTTACCCACGCATGTTTTTATGTTGTTGTTGAAAAAACGCATCACCTTTCATAAAAACCGCGGGATATATGTGTTGTTGATAATAATACCTGTGTTGTTGATAATAATACCTGTGTTGTTGATAATACCTGTGTTGATAATAACCCGCCATCGTCCAGTGTAAGATGTCATCGATGGTGTAAGAAAAATACATTTGCTACACGTACTGCACAGCCACTCTCTCGCTCTCTCTACAGACTGTGGTCATTGCGGGTAAGGGAACAACCCCTACCCGGTGAACAGATTCCACATTACGGCGGTTAGAGTCGCTTTGTTAATATTCTCATCAGCAACGAACAGCAGAGCTGCCCACCACATAAACACGCAGCCGTCAACGTGAATTCCAATTCGCTTGTTTAATTGTCGCTGCTCCTGCTGCTTTTGAGTAAGTAAAAAAAAGGCTGATGAATACACCAGATTAACAACAATTAAAATATTCACAACATACACACCCCCTGCCTTGGAAAAAAAAAGTGTCCTGCTCAAAACCAATACGGATGTAATAATAATCTTAACCATCGAACAATCGCAGTTTAGCATGCGGCGTATGGCAAGCAAAATAATTATTCTTCTGAGTTGGGACTACTACGAACGTGGAAATAAATCCGGTTCGATTCCTGGCCTGGGCTCGTGTCACAGTGGGGGCAAGTGATCTACCCAAACCGGAGCCCTGCTCCTCCCCTAGGTAGACTCGACCTTAAAAAAACACCAAGGAGGAGGTGGAGGACGACTCACAGGCAGGGCGAACTGAGGGAGCGGTGCACGGGAGTCTGGCCCAGTACGGTGACTTTGGCCACAAGGTAAACAACTTCACTGCCACCACCTCGACCACGACCACCACTGCCATGACCAGCACCACCACCACCACAGGCAGCACCGCCACGAACGCCACGACCACCACCATGGCCACCACCACCACCACAACCACCACAGCCACGACCACCACCATCACGACCACCACCGTCGCCACGGTCATGCCTACATGTGGACCGCTCCACCCGCGCCAGCATGGTTTGCGTGGCTCCGGTCCTGGCGCCGTCCTGATGCACGTACACCTCATGCACGCAGCGCCACGCTCGCCCCTCACGCCGCTGCTGCCACTGCTGCCCGCCACCAGCCGGAAACAGCACCCGGGCCAGAGTGTCGATGGAATACCCCTGCTGCTGTGTATCAGCGTCAAACAAATACTGCTGAGCTTGTTCCTGCGCTCCACTGTCCAGGTAATATGGCCCAGCCTCTGTGTTCACGATCGAGTACCGCTGCTGCTGCTGCGCGTCAGTGTCAGAGGCATACTGGCGAGCCTCAGTGTTCCCAATTGAGTACTGCTGCTCCTGTGCGCCACTGTCCATTGAGTACCACTGATTCTGTGCGTTGGGGTCAAAGAAATACTGCCGTTCCTCTTTGTTTTCGATTGAGTGCTCGTGCTGCTCCTGTGTATCAGCGTCAGAGACATACTGCCCAGCCTCTGTGTTCTCATTTGAATAGCCGTGCTGCTCCTCTGCGTCAGTGTCAGCTGAGTACTGGCACTGCTGCTCCTCTGCGTCAGTGTCAACTGAGTACTGGTACTGCTGCTCCTCTGCGTCAGTGTCAACTGAGTACCGGTACTGCTGCTCCTCTGCGTCAGTGTCAACTGAGTACCGGTACTGCTGCTCCTCTGCGTCAGTGTCAACTGAGTACCGGTACTGCTGCTCCCGTGCGTCAGTGTCAACTGAGTACCGGCACTGCTGCCCCCGTGCGTCAGTGTGAGCTGAGTACTGGTACTGCTGCCCCCGTGCGTCAGTGTCAGCTGAGTGCCGGTACTGCTGCCCCCGTGCGTCAGTGTCAACTGAGTACCGGCACTGCTGCCCCCGTGCGTCAGTGTCAACTGAGTACTGGTACTGCTGCCCCCGTGCGTCAGTGTCAGCTGAGTACTGGTACTGCTGCCCCCGTGCGTCAGTGTCAGCTGACTGCCGGTACTGCTGCTCCCGTGCGTCAGTGTCCGCTGAATACTGGCACTGCTGCCCCCGTGCGTCAGTGTCAACTGAGTACCGGCACTGCTGCCCCCGTGCGTCAGTGTCAGCTGAGTGCCGGTACTGCTGCTCCCGTGCGTCAGTGTCCGCTGAATACTGGCACTGCTGCCCCCGTGCATCAGTGTCAACTGAGTACCGGCACTGCTGCCCCCGTGCGTCAGTGTCAACTGAGTACTGGTACTGCTGCTCCCGTGCGTCAGTGTCAGCTGAGTGCCGGTACTGCTGCTCCCGTGCGTCAGTGTCAGCTGAGTACTGGCACTGCTGCCCCCGTGGGTCAGTGTCAACTGAGTACCGGCACTGCTGCCCCCGTGCATCAGTGTCAGCTGAGTACCGGCACTGCTGTCCCCGTGCATCAGTGTCAACTGAGTACCGGCACTGCTGTCCCCGTGCGTCAGTGTCAGCTGAATGCCGGTACTGCTGCCCCCGTGCGCTATTGTCAATGAGACTCTGCCGCACCCTCCTATCATTGTGAGTGAGGCGCTGCTGCTGCTGCACCCTAACGCTGGTGTCACTAACGAGTCGCTGCTCCGGCTGCTCTGGCTGCTGCTCGCCCGACTGGTCCCCGCAGCTGGGCGGGCGCTGCTGTGGGCAGCCCCTGTTGCAGTCCCTACTGTAGCCCCTGCTGTAGCCCCTGCTGCTGCTGCTGCCGCTGCTCTGCATGGCGCTCTGCTGCAGCGCCGTGCCACGGCTCCCCGGCTGGGTGTGAGGGCATAGCAAGACCATGGCTCCGGTGGCTCCCTCCTCACGCTCATCTGGGCCATTGAGAGCGAGCGCCAGCACCGTTAGCGCGACTCCTCCTCCTTCGCCACCACCAACAAGAACAACAGCAACAACACCACCACCAACAAATAAAAATACAAAGATCCCCCGTATAGCCTTAACATACTGTTGGGGCAAGTGCTGTTAGCGAGCACCTATGAAGGCCGGCATGGCACACGAGGGGGTGGGTAGCCAGCACCACGCCCGGCCGCCTTTGTCTTCTCAGTGGTGATGTTTACACACTGCACCAGGTACTCATTTGAGGCTGAGTCGATCTAGGGAAGCCCAGGACCGGTTAAGATATTCGTAACTGGTGTTGGCCGTGAGCGGGAATTGAACTTGGGTCACCAGGTTGATAGCGCAGCATGCTAACTGCTACACTAACACTCCAACACCACGACCGACAACAACAACCGCCATTCGTCACTAAGTGGCGGTAACGTTACCATGGCGCCTGTGCCAGGCTAGGTGCACTCGGAGGCCATCATGTGAAGTGTCGAAGGCTCGCTGCTGGCAATAGATCATGGGACATATCCAGCAGATGCCATGGGTTGGCTGACTGAAATGACTGTAAGATGCACCACCTGTACCCCCTTCTGTGCCAACTCGTTGCGTTTTATCAGCCTGGTGCTCGGCTCGTTGTTGTGAGGATTGCTCCTCTGCCCTCCGCTGTTGTTGGAGTGTGACTGCCTCCAACTGCCCAGTCGCCTCAAAGTACACCTAGCCTATAACTGTTCAGTAGCGTCCTTCACGAGCCTCCTGCTCCAATACCGCTGATACCGGTCATCGGCAAGTCCACCCAGCTCCACATCCTCCTGTACCGCATCAGCTCCATCTCTCCTCCATCACCACTTCCGTCACCACCATCATCACAGCGTCGTCATTGTTATAATAAAGGTGTCAGTCCAGTGTAGCTGCACCACAAGGGGCTCCAGAACTGATGTTAATGACTGCTACCAAAGACCAAGAGCTCCATGCAAAGTGACATAACCAGGGCAGTAGCTGGATTCATACATCTATTGGGCCATTTTTGCCAGTATCAAAATGAGAATAAAAAATGAATTCACCTTTATCCTTTCTGGCAATAATACAGGAGGAGGCGTTAAGATATATTAAACCCCAAATAGACACTGCCTATTATCGCAAGGAATCATAAAGTCTCCATTAACCCACACATCATGCTTATGGTAAAACATGCAATACAAACATGCTTCGATGATAATGTATGCATTGTCTTCGAAAATGATTGGCCTACACCAGCGTGCATGTTTTACCACAAGCGCGATGTGTAGTTAAGGCAGACTTGATGACGGTGGTGGGATGTTAACTACCTCGACCGGTATGCAGGAGGTTGTGTGTTCGATCCCGATCTTAATAACTCGCCGGACGCAATCGCACATCTGTGAAAAAATATCTTTATAGCTCTATAAACTAAACAATTTGGTACTTTAGCAGATAAGGCCCCATTGAGCTACGTAGCTCTTTTTCAGAAGCCCACCTGACCATCGCACGTAACGATAGCTCAAGGAAGTGGCCTATAATCCGGTGGACATTCATAGCAGCAGACAAATACTCGCAACACAGTCTCAAACACAGATTCTAATTCTGGGCGTGCAGAGAAGGTAGACGGTAGGCCACTCACCACTGCAACTCGCCGGCAAATCCATCTGTGCGGCGCTCCTCCTGTTCACGGACCTCATGCTCTGCAAAGGGGGGGGGGGGGGGGAGATTGCCCTGACTCAGTACATAGCCAACCGTGCTAATCTTAGGTGGGCGTTGTAACGCCGCGCGTTGTAACGGTACACGTTCCGCGTTATAATGCGCGCATTCTATATACTCGTTGGTCATTGACGGCAATGATGGTCGCTCCCCTGTGATGTGGCGTTATAAACGACACATGGTTATAATGGTGCGGGTTGCGTGTTATAACAGGTACGCTCCGGGTTATAACCGGGTGTGCCCCGGGGTATAACAATGCATGTTCCGCATTATAACGATGCACGTTCCAGGTTATAACGGTGCACATTCCGCGTTGTGCGAGCAGTGTTCGCGAATGGAAGAACCGCATTGCAGAGAAAATGCGTTCTAGCGTGAACACCGCCACACGTTAAGCGAGGACTTGCATAGTGTGGTGCACTGTGCTGCCTAATTGTATTGTGTGCTGTATTGTGTGCTGCGGTGGCTAGGAAACGTTATCTCCCTCGCTTGGTATACAGGAGGTCGTGGGTTCGATCCTGACAGTGACTTCTGCTGTATATTTAGAGTGTGTTCTCCCCGGGTTCTCCAGTTTTTCCCCTCCACATTTAGAATCAATACCACGCGATGAATTGAATTGGCTGCTATTAATTTCCGCACAATGAATATCCACTTGGTTGAGCTATCATTTGTGGCCAGGTTGCCTCTAAAAAGAGCTACATAGCTCAGTGGACCTTACCTAGGAAAATAAAAATAGCTAAATTGATCCTATGGGTCTCTATATTAGTATATTAGTCTCCATGTCAGTACAACCTCGCTGAGAGCCTCATCACTAAGCCACAGCCTGGAGATATATGGCCACGTCATCGACACTAACCCAGAGCCTCCTCCTCCTTGATATGGCTGGTGTTGATATCGAGCCACAACCATACATTTTACATTGAGATGGCCGAGCCCAGATAACTGCGTCAGGAGTGAGTGGAGCGTATTGGGGAATTATTTATTTGCGAATCGGGGAATTATTTACTTGTGAATTGGGGCATTATTTATTTGTGAATTGGGGCATTATTTATTGGTGAATTGGGGAACTATTTATTGGTGAATTGGGGAACTATTTATTTGTGAATCGGGTGGAAGGCTGTGGTATATCTTGCTGTATATTTGGAGTCTCTCTCCCCATAGTCGCGTGGATTTTTCTTTAGGTCCTCCAGTTTTTCCTTCAAAAATTAGAAACAACATCACGTGAGTAGTTAGCTGCTATAAATTTCCACATGATGATAAGCCACTTCGTTGAGCTGTCATTTGTGATGGCCAGGTCGCTTCTGAAAAGGAGCTACACAGCTCAGTGGACCTTACCTGGCAAAATAAACAATAGTAGAGGAAAGTATATATTTGTGAATCAGGCATTATTTAAGTTTGTGTTTGTTGAGTGTTGCAATGTTGCCTCCTTAGCGTTCGTGTGGGGCGTTGCTGTGCCACGTCGTTGCGCAGCGCCATGGATTTTATTCTCCCTCCACATTTAGAAACGTGCATTGAGATTATTTAGATTATTTTGGTGCTATTAATGTCCAAATAATGGGCCACTTTGTTAAGCTATAATTTGTGGCCAGGTTGCTTCGGAAAAATAAGTTAATTCCTCAGTGGGCTTTGCCTGGTAGGATGGGGATGATTTAGTTGTATTTGTATGTGTTTGGGTGATTTGTTTAACCTTCTTATACTTTGCACTCCGTTTGTGTGTTGTGTTTGTTGTCGTAACGTTCTTACCCCGTGCCCCTACTGGACATCTGTGAAAAAGAACTTTATAGCTCATCTGATTCCTCCTGCAGTATAAATAATGATTTTAATTCTAATACTACCGCACTCACCGTCACCATGACGCGGATCACAGCGGTCACCAGCAGCAGCAGTGGCAGCAGCAGCAGCAGCAGAGTCAGCGCCCTCGACGTTAGCAGCTGCTCCAGCACACAGTCACCGCCACTGCCACCACGGCCAAGGCCCTCGCCAGCTGCAGCTCCGACCTCTCCTCCACCGGCTTCACCTCCTTGCTGCTCCATGCCCATCTCTTGCTCCATTCCCATCTCTTGCTCCATGCCCATCTCTTGCTCCATGCCCATCTCTTGCTCTGCGCCCTTTTCTCACCGCAATGGGGAGGGGTTGTGGCAGGGGAGGTGGAGGGAAGGGCATCGCAACTAAGCTGGGCTCACGAGCGTGTGGGCAGCTACGGCTGGTCGCTGGAAAGCTGATGGCCGTTTACCGGGGGGGGGGGGGATAAAAAAGAGGAACTGTTTTTCACAACAAGGCTTTTCCACGCTTCATCAGGGGGTGTTTTTTTTTATAATCGCGAGTGTCCATACAAAGCCAACCGTAGTAATCAGAGGTGTGGGGGAAGGACAACAAACTATGGATCTCTGTGCGAGTCCAAATTGGTATACAGTGTCTCATCAGCATGCTTGAATCAGCGCTGGTGAATTGCCAGATGTTAAAGGCAAGGAACTTCTCTTTAAGAGAGGAGTTCTTTAGGGGATTGGAATATTTATTCAATTCCTGTTATGAAACGTAGGCTTCTTGTGAGTTTATGTGGGGGCGAGGTGTTAACTATCTCGCCTGGTATACAGGAGGTCGTGGGTTCGATCCCAACTCTGACGCCTGTTGTATATTTGGAGTTTGCGGTGTCTTTTTCCCTGTGGTCATGTGTATTTTTTCTCCAGTATCCTCCAGTTTTTTGCACATTTAGAATCAATGTCACGCGTTTTTGGCTGCTGCTATAAATTTCCACATTTGTGATAGCCAGGTCACTTCTGAAAAAGAGCTACATAGCTTAGTGAGCCTTACCTCCTTCGACACCGAGGTCTCGAACTGTTATAGCCTCACATCACTTTACACTACACAATACACTACACTACTATACACTACACTATACACTACTATACACTGCAATACTATACATTAGATTACTATATACAACACTACTATACACTACTCTATACACTAGACTGCTATGCACCACACTATACACTACACTATACACTACTTTACACGACGCTACTATACACTACACTACTCTACACTACACTGCTGGATCTATTGAGGTCTTACTCTTAGTTTTTTCGGTAAAGTCACGTAGGTAAACAAATGAAATTAAAATTAATAAAAATAATTTTAATTTCATTTTTTTACCTACGTGACTAAACAAATGAAATTAAAATTAAGAAAAATAATTTTAATTTCATTTTTTTACCTACGTGACTTTACCGAAAAAACTAAGAGTATGAATCCTTGCAGTCACGAAAGCTTCAAATATAGAACTATTGAGGTCTGGTGGTATTCTGTCAGCAGATTTAATTTTACCACCATACTGCGATGTTTTACTATTTTACCACCACCATTTTACCACCACGACTCTTAACCACCATTTTTACCACGATTTTACCACCACGATGCTTATCACCACAATGTTTACCACCACCATTTTACCAGCACCGGTTTTACCACCACGATTTCACCACCATGACTTTTACCACCACGAATTTTACCACTACGGTTTTACCACCTTGATTTTTACCACCACGATTTTACCACCACGATTTTTACCACCATGATTTTACCACCACGATTTTTACCACAACCATTTTTACCACCACGATTTTTAACACCACAATTTTTACCACCACGATCTTTACCACCACAATTTTTACCACCATGATGTGACATTGTCAGAAAATGTCATCGTTGCTGGAAGATGTCAGAGTGAGTGAAGAGAGTGCGCGTGTCTCTGAAGTCCAGTCCGTCGAAGCACTCCAATCCACCGCAGGCATCTGGAGGTTCTCCATTACTCGTAGGCTGCCAGGCTGTGGTAACACTGCTGGAGCAAATCTCCAGTTTGGAAGTGAATTCTTCACCCAAACCTCCTTGGCCGTAGGGAGGTCGATGAACCAGCGATTACATTTTCGGTGTTGTGGTGATTTTGGATCACCACTTATTTTCAAGGGCAATTTAGAAGTGCCAGTCGGCTTTGGCCTACAGTCTCAAAACTGACCCACAACCTCAACACTGAAGCACAGCCTCAACCTTGACCCATAGCCTCAACACTGACCCACAAACTCAACATTAACGCACAACCTCAATACTGACCCATGGCCTCAACACTGACTCATAGCCTCAACACTAACCCACAAACCCAACACTGGGTCACAGCCTCTAGACTGACCGATTGCTTCAACACTGAACCACAGCCTCAACCCTGAACCACAACCTCAACACTGACTCATAGCCTCAACACTGACCCACATCCTCAACACTGGCCCACAGCCTCAACACTGACCAATAGCCTCAACACTGACCCACAGTCTCCACACTGACACACAACCTCAACCCTGACCGAAAGCCTCAACAACATCGACCCATAGCCACAAAACGGATCAACAACCTCAACACTGACCCACAGCCTCAACAACAACCCACAACCTCAACACTGACACAGCCTCAACAACACTGACCCATAACCACAACAGTGACCCACAGCCTCAACAACACTAACCCACATCCCTAGACGTAAATCCATAGTGTACACACTCTACCCCACAGACTCAGCAGTGACGCACCACCTCTGAAGCTCTCTCACCTCCCCTGTGCCAGCCGCGTCCCTGCGCTGCTGCTGCTGGCAGCAGAAAAGCCACGAGACATCGGTCACCTGCGTCCAGTGGAGGGCGGCATCGAGGAACCAGACGAGCATGGAGCCCCACATGGCCCCACGCGGAGGCCTGCATGCCACCGATACACACAAAGAAAAATATATCCCCCCATATAGCCTTAACAGACTGTTGAGGCAAGTGCTGTTAGCGAATAGCAGCACCTATGAAGGTCGGCACAGCACATGAGGGGGTGGGTGGCCAACACCACGCCCGGCCGCCGTTGTCTCCCTCCTGGCCATGTTTATGCATTGCACAAGGTAATCATGTGAGGCTGAGTTGACCTAAGGGAGGCCCAGGGCCGGTTAAAATTATCATCACTGGTTCTGGCCGTGTGCGGGAATCAAAGTCGAGTCACTGGATTTGTAGCACAGCGCGATAACTACTGAGCCACCGCTATCCACATCATGAACACAAAGATGTATCACCATAGACACAGACACACAGAGACACATCAACACAGACACAAATAGAGACACAGACATATAAAGACGCATCAACACAACAACCGCCATTCACCACTCAGTGGCGGTGACGTGCTGATGGCGCTTGTGCCAGGCTATGTGCACATTAAGGCCAGGTGAAGTGGCAAATGCCCCCTGGCAGGTCACGGGGCAGACCCAGGTGCCATGGGTCGACTAAGATCACTGGCCGATGCACCACCTGTGCCCCCTACTGTGCCAACTTGCTGTGTTTTAACCTCCCGGCGCTCTGCTCGTTGTTGAGCGTTGCTCTGCCCTCCGTTGTTGCTGGAGGGAGACTGCCTCTAACTGCCCAGTAGCATCCTTCACGAGCCTCCTCCACAGAGGCCGACCTTGACACCGCTGATATCAGTCATCGGCAAGTCCACTCAGCTCCACATCCTAGCCCGTGCTGCGCCCATTTAGCTTCCTTTATCGGGCCAAACAAAAGCTGTTTGGGCATGCGGTGATTGGGCATTCGGGCAACATGGCCCAGCCAACGCAACCTTGCCTGCCGGAGGAGCTCACCGATGGGACTTTGCCCAGATCTTTCAAGGATTTGTGAGCTCCTCACACAATCCAGCCTGGTTAAACCCAGGATGGATCGTAGGTAGGCCAGCCTAAATGTTTCTAACCGGCGAAGATGCTCCATTCGGGGGGTCCACGTTTCGCAAGCGTAGAGACGGGAGGGAATGACTGTGGCGGAGAAGGCCTGAAGCTTTGTGAGGAGCGACAGACCAGGTAGCTTCCACACAGCATTACGCAACCGATGAAAAGATATTGCCGCTCGACTGATTCGGAGTGAGACCTCTGCTTTTAAACTGGAGCCGGTCATGAGCACACTGCCCAGGTATGGGAAACTCTCCAATCTCTCCACAACTGCCCCATCACCGATTGGAGTTGTGGGGGTGGAGTGTCCGATGGTACAAAATACCCAGGCAGGTGCTTAGTTTTGGTGGGGCTGATGGTAAGGCCCCACCTCTTAGTGGCAGACTCGAGTTTCAGCAGCAGCGCCTCCACCTCCTCCTGAGTGAGCCGCAATTACCAGGTCGTCGGCATACATAATGTGGTTGACCAATAGGGAGCCATCCCTTGACCGTACCCAGGCATCGATCAGCCTCCCATTGTATCTGTACCAGATGATACATAACGCACACACACATACACACTGCCAGCCACTCAATGTCTCGTACCTGTGCACACGAGGATGTCTCGCTGATTCGCTCTCAGTCCGCACGCTGCGGGAGCGTCCGTCCGTCCTTCACAGACTCTCAAAACGCGCCACTCAACTCCCGCTAGATATAGAGGGCACACTGCCCGATAGCGCACACATTGCAGCGTGAGCAAGCAGCCTCAAACTGTGACCTCTGGTTTTTAGTTAGGGTGAAGTTCATCCTTTGGTTAGCTACATACGGTGTGAAAAAAGTGCAACATATACACAGAGCACGGTTGACTACATACGGTGCAAAAGAAGTTCAACATGTACATATGAATGTTGAACTTCTTTCGCACTGTACGTAGCCAACCGTGCTAATCGGAGGCGCAATTAATCAGGCACTTGCAATTTACATAAGTTTAATTGTTGTTTTGATTATATTTTCAATGTCATCGTACGTGTCACCAGATTTTAATGTGTTAATTATTGTATCCATTCAATAGTGACTTTTTTTACACGTTTAACCTCACTACCACCCTGGCTGAGTGGATGGGTGAGCGGGTGGGTGGGTGAGTGAGTGGGTGGGTGAGTGGTTCGGTGAGTGGTTGGGTGAGTGGTTGGGTGGGTGAACGAGTGGGTGGGCGAGGGAGTGGTTGAGTGGGTGGGTGGTTGGGTGGGCGAGTGGGTGGGTGGTTGGGTGGGCGAGTAGGGTGGGTGGTTGGGTGAGTGAGTGGTTGGGTGGGTGAGTGGGTGAATGAGTGTGCCAGTGAGTTTGCATGTCTCTCTCCCCGTGTTCGCGTGGATTTTTTTATCCAGGTCCTCCGGGTTTTTTCCCCTCCACATTTAGAAACACGCATCGAGATACCTTTTGATTATTTTCCTGCTATAAATGTCCACGTGACGATACGCCACTTTGTTGAGCCATCGTTTGTGACCAGGTCGCTTGTAGAAAAATAAGTGAATGCCTCAGTGGGCTTTCACCTGGTAAGATAAAAAAATAATGTAGTTGTATTTGTATATATATATTTTAAGTTATTTGTTTACCTTTCATACACTTTGCTACTCCTATCGTGTTCATGAGTGTTGTTGGAACGTACCGGGCATCCGTGACAATGCACATCGCAGCTCACCGGGATTGTAGTTGTGTAGTTATCGTAGTTAGAGTTAAAGTTACTACAGTCCTTGTCGTAGATGTAGTTATTGTTATAGTTAGTGTGGTTTTGTACTTGTTATAACTGTTATTGTAGTTGCTATAGTTATTGTGGTTATAATTATCGTAAATGTAGTTGTTATAGTTGTTGCTGTAGTTATTGTAGTACAGTCGTTATTGTAGTTATTGTTAATGTAGTTATATTTATTGTACTAATTATAGTTGTTGTTGTAGTAGTTATTGTTAATGTAGTTATATTTATTGTAGTAACTATAGTAGTTGTTGCTGTAGTTACTGTAGTATAGTTATAGTTCTTGTAATTATAGTTGTAGATAGTATCGTTACAGTAGTACAATCGTTATCATAGTGGTTTTCATTTATTACTTTAGTTATAGTTATTGTAGATATTAGTTATAATAATATATTATAGTTATGATAGTATGATATATTTTAGTAATTATAGTATATATTATAGTATTATATATTATAGTTATTATACTAAGAATAGTATTATATATGACAGTAATTGTTGCTGTAGTTACTGTAGTACAGTCATCACCATGGTTGCCGCGCTATAACGGTCGCGGCCGGCGCTACATCACGTGATGATTCCCGGCGCGCCGATTGGCCGTTTCACTCCCTCCTCGCGGCGGGGTTCGCGTTGCCGCCTCCTATCAGAAGGCGGTGAAGAGTCTTTGCGTCGTGACGTCACTACGCGCGGCAACGCGATGACGTCACGCGGGAGGGGGGGGCGAGCTGCACGTTGCAACGCGGAAGACGCGGATTTACCGACCTCGAAAGTGGCGCGCTGTGACGTCATGTCGGACATCGCGTCGCGACGAGGGGCGCGATGACGTCATGTCGGGCGAGCTCTGCTCCCGGTGTCGCTTGCTCCCAGCAGGAGGCCGCCTCGCCTGGCCCACAGGAGGCCGTGGGTTCGGTCGCCACCCTCACGATGCCTGTGCTGCTGTCTGCAGTTTGCCTGTCTCTCTCTCCGTGGTGATTGTGAGTGGCGTTGAGTGGTGGTGAGTGGCGATGGGTGGTGGTGGTGCGTGGTGGTGAGTGACGGTGCGTGGTGGTGAGTGGCGGTGAGTGGTGTTGAGTGGTGGTGAGTGGCGATGGGTGGTGGTGGTGCGTGGTGGTGAGTGACGGTGCGTGGTGGTGAGTGGCGGTGAGTGGCGTTGAGTGGTGGTGAGTGGCGATGGGTGGTGGTGGTGCGTGGTGGCGAGTGGCGGTGCGTGGTGGTGAGTAGTGGTGAGTGGTGTTGAGTGGCGGTGAGTTGTGATCAGTAGTGGTGAGTGGTGGAAAGCGGTGGTGAGTAGTGGTGAGTGGTGGTGAGTGGCGGTGAGTTGTGATCAGTAGTGGTGAGTGGTGGAAAGCGGTGGTGAGTAGTGGTGAGTGGTGGTGAGTGGCGGTGAGTGGTGGTGAGTGGTGGTGGTGAGTGGCGTTGAGTGGTGGTCAGTGGCGATGGGTGGTGGTGGTGAGTGGTCAGTGGTTGCGAGTGACGGTGAGTGGTGGTGATTGAATGATGTTGAGTGGCGTTGAGTGGCGATCAGTGGCGGTCAGTGGTGGTCAGTGGTGGTGAGTGGTTGTGAGTGGTCAGTGGTGGTGAGTGGCGTTGAGTGGTGGTGACTAGCGGTCGGTGGCGTTGAGTGGCGGTGAGTGGTTGTGTGGTGGTGAGTCGCGGTCAGTGGTGAATGGTGGTGAGTGGCCGTCAGTGGTGGTGAGTAGTGGTCAGTGTTGGTGAGTGGTGGTGAGTGAATAGCGGTGAGTGAATGGCGGTGAATGATGGTGACTGGCGATGAGTGGTGGTTAGTGGCAGTGAGTCGTGGTCGGTGGTGGTGAGTGGTGGTGAGTAATTGTCAGTGGTGGTGAGTAGTGGTGAGTGCTGGTCAGTAGTGGTGAGTGGTGGTGAGTCATTGTCAGTGGTGGTGAGTGGTGGTGAGTAGTGGTCAGTGATGGTGAGTGGCGGTGAGTAGTGGTGAGTGGTGGTCAGTGGTGGTGAGTGCTGGTCAGTAGTGGTGAGTGGTAGTCAGTGGTGGTGAGTGGTGGTCAGTGACTGAGTAGTCGTGAGTGGTGGCCAGTGGCGGTGAGTGGTGCTGAGTGGCAGTGAATAGTGGTGAGTGGTGGTCAGTGGCATTGAGTGACGATTAGTGACGGTGGGTGGCGGTGAGTGGTTGTGAGTGGCGGTGAGTCGTGGTGAGTAGTGGTCAGTGGTGGTGAGTGGTGGTCCGCCTGAGGACGACTACAAGCGGTCGTCCTCAGCTGTTACAAGGTTATTTATGTGGCGAAGGGCAAGGAGGCAGGATCTGAGCTGGAAAGGAATTCCATCCCCAGACACAAGCACGTCAGTTATGTTAATGGCGGAGATTAGGGAGAGAGATTAGCATGAAATGAGCTTTCATTTCCCATGGTTGGGGATACAGCTTTGCGGATTCTGCGTTCTGAGTATCCATTCCTCTTGAGGCCTTGTCGTACGTGCTCCAGTTCACTGGCTAGGTGGCGCTGGTTGGAGATGCAGTGGACCCTATGGTGTAGTGATTTGATGAAGTTCTGGGCCGGATGGTGGTGGGAGTCACGCTTTAGATAGGAATCCGTGTGGGTGGCTTTCCTGTAGACGGAATGTCCCAACGAGCCATAAGGCCTCTTCTCGATCAAAACATCCAGGAATGGTAGCTTGCCATCATTTTCCACTTCCATGGTGAATTTGATGGATGGGTGTATGGAATTTATGTGGTTGAAAAAATGGTTCAGTTCTGGCTGGCCATGTGGCCAGATGACGAAAGTGTCATCTACGTATCGCTTCCACAGGGACTGACGTAGGGTGGATGTCAGGATGGCATCTGTTTCAAATTTCTCCATGAAAACATTCGCTACCATTCCAGATGAAGTAAGTGTTGGTAAGGCAGTGCCTCACCAAAGTTGGTAAATCAGGATTCAGTCCCTGTTGGACCAAGTCTTCAATGATTGCTAAGGTGTCAGGTACAGGTACCTTGGTGAACAGAGAGACTACATCGAAGCTGACAAGCAAATCATCTGGAGACAGTGAAATGTCCTTGATTAGAGAAACCAAGTGAGCTGAGTTAAGTACTGCTGAGGTGGTCTTGCCCATGAAGCAGGGTCTCAGACAGAAATCGGGCCAGTTTGTAGGAGGTGAGTTGATGGTAGAAACGATAGGATGGAGTGGAGTACCTTTATTGATTTTTGGAAGGCCATAAAATCTGAGTGGTCTAGCAGGTGAAGGATTTAGAGAGAGCTGCTTGTTCGGTTTGATTAGAGAAGTCGAATTAGTGATTATTTTGTTGGTTTTTGTAGCCAGTTGTCCACCTAACTAAGTTGTGTCTACGGCAGCAGTTACATTGGGGAAACGAAATTACGTCTCGGACCGTGTTCGCGAACACAAGGCAGATTTGAAATACGGCAGAACCAATACCTCTGCCGTAGCTGATCATTGTTCTAACGCAGTGGGCTCGCATTATATTGTTTTTTTTTCTGAGACCAAGGTACTCTGCAAAGCTTCGGGCTACCATCAAAGATATGTCCATGAAGCCATCCAGATAAATAAACACAGACAATTTCAACCGAGAAGATGGTTATAAGCTGAGCAATCATTGGAAGGACGTTATTAACCAAGCAAAGTCGTAACTTGCTGTGGTGCTTCCATTCTTCCCTGCCGCTTGGCTGTTATCTCCGACTCTCTGAGTTGCATTGCCCTGTTAGGTGCCTCTGCATTAACGGGCTGGGGTCTCACTAACATGGCCACCTCTGCTCCCTTAGCCTCGATGTATCGATGGTTCCGGCTGTGATGGGCTGTGCGTCTCACTGGCGCGACCACCGTTGCAGTGGTTCTCTTGCGTGTACGCGCTTGCCTCTCACAGCGCAGTTGGCAGCGCTGCAGCTTGTGTTATACATAGACATGACATTAACTTGCTAATCCCCCTAATCTCTCTGCCTAATCTCTCCCATCAACATAGTGCTAATCTCCCATTAACACTGCTGTTGTGCGCATATGCGGAGACGGAAGCTCATTTCATGCTAATCTCTCTCCGTAATCTCCCCCATTAACACAACTGACGTGCTTGCGTCCAATGATGGAATACCTTTTCAGCTCAGACCCCGCTTGTTTGCCCTTCGCCACATATATAACCTTGTTGTAACAGCTCTCTCGCTGATTCAGCAGTTCCACTGCTGGATTATTATTATTTTTTCCGCCTGAGGACGGCCGATTGTGTTGCAATCGAAACGTCGTGATCTATTACTTTTTTATTTTATTTTTCTACCTACGTAACTTTACCGAAAGAACCAAAGAGAATGGATTACTGCAGTCACGAAAGCTTCAAATCAAGAGTAGTGTAGTGTATAGTGTAGTGCATCATCATTCCGATCCATGGGCAGACAGCCCCGGTATGTGACCACATGTCCTCATTTATTTCCACTTTCCTCTCTGTCTTGTAGTATATGTGCTCAAGTAATGCTACATCTTATGATGTCTTCGTCAAGCCATTCATTCTCTGTTAGGTCTTCCTCTCTTTCCTGTTCCTTCCATTTTCCAAACAACAACAACACACTTTTACTGTTGTTGTTGTCCATCCTACTACATACAGTATGTGTCCAAATATTGCCAGTTTTATTCTCATCACTGCATTATTATCATCATCATCAGTTTGTGTACTTCAATGTGCAACCTTTTTCTTCTATGTTGGTCACTCTTTGGGTCCAGCTTCGATGCAGCAGCATCCTTTTGTAGCAATACATTTCAAGTGCCAATGTCTTATCTCTGTCAATCGTTTTGTTATTTGTCCAGGTCTGGCAGGCATACAAGTTGTACTGAACACGCATGTTGTTCTTAAGATGTTCAGTTTGGTATTATTACTACAGTGAGGGAAAAAGTATTTGATCCCCTGCTGATTTTGTACGTTTGCCCACTGACAAAGAAATGATCAGTCTATAATTTTAATGGTAGGTTTATTTGAACAGTGAGAGACAGAATAACAACAACAAAATCCAGAAAAACGCATGTCAAAAATGTTATAAATTGATTTGCATTTTAATGAGGGAAATAAGTATTTGACCCCTCTGCAAAACATGACTTAGTACTTAGTGGCAAAACCCTTGTTGGCAATCACAGAGGTCAGACGTTTATTATAGTTGGCCACCAGGTTTGCACACATCTCAGGAGGGATTTTGTCCCACTCCTCTTTGCAGATCTTCTCCAAGTCATTAAGGTTTCGATGCTGACGTTTGGCAACTCGAACCTTCAGCTCCCTCCATACATTTTCTATGGGATTAAGGTCTGGAGACTGGCTAGGCCACTCCAGGACCTTAATGTGCTTCTTCTTGAGCCACTCCTTTGTTGCCTTGGCCGTGTGTTTTGGGTCATTGTCATGCTAGAATACCCATCCACGACCCATTTTCAATGTGCTGGCTGAGGGAAGGAGGTTCTCACCCAAGATTTGATGGTACATGGCCCCGTCCATCGTCCCTTTGATGCAGTGAAGTTGTCCTGTCCCTTAGCAGAAAAACACCCCCAAAGCATAATGTTTCCACCTCCATGTTTGACGGTGG